TTACGTCTAGAAGGCCCTACCTCTCCTTGGCCTCCAAGACTCAGCTTCCCACAAGAAGCCTTCTCAGACCAGCTTTGAGACCCCTCCCCTGTCCTCTTCTAGTCCTGTCTTCCTTACTATCATAGACTTATCACCCTTTATTGTCCGGCCTATTTATCCTGTCTGCTTCCTTCTAAATCATGGCCTCCTAAAAGCAGGATTACATCCTGCTCCCTAATCTACACCCAGGGATTCTAGTCTAGGGTTTTGGATATCTCTTGGGGAAATGAACAAATCCCAAATCACTCCCTGCCTCATCCCCTCACCGCAACACAAGGCCCGAACTGAGCTTTTTGGCTATGCACCCTTTTCCCCAAACCAATCTCCTGGAACCCACCAGGAAAATCCCACTGCTGTCCAGGAATCTTTCCTAACCATGCAGCCCTCCTCCAACCCAGAATGACCAGTGTCCATGAGATGTAGATGGCACTTGTCCCAAACAGTGAGGTGTTAACTGTTCTGATGTGGGCCTCACACCACCTGGGTTTGACAGGAGCCCAGGTCCCAAGAGGCTCCAGCCCTGCTCTGTGCTGCCCCAGCAGACACTCAGTAAATATTTAGGTATTAATTAACTTCCTCCTGGGAGCAGTGACTCAGTGCCCGATGTAATCTCCTCAGCTCCGGGGGGGTGGAAGGGAGAGGAAGGTAAGAGTCCCAATCTTTCTCAGGTGTCTGCGCAAATAAGACCAGACTTTCGTTCCAAGAAGCCTTGTCTCACTCAGACCCGTTCTCCTCCACTCCTCCTCCCCCAACGTGTGTCTGCAGATACTCAGACAGATGTTCACACTGCCCTGAACCCTCCACCTCAATCTCTGTGCATGAGAACAGAAGCTTCGTGTGCAACTCACTCTTTCCAGAAACATTTGTGAATTCCTACTATGTGCCCCGAAAGCCACACTGCTCCCCGGGGCATCACAGAATGCAGCTGTTTCTCTGCCTCCTTCAGCAAGTATCTTCTTACAACAGCTGTGGCAACACCCCCCTCCCAGGCCACCCCAAAAAAGATCAATGGGTTTTATGAAGCTAGACAACTGCTTAGCCCTCTGCACTAACCCACCCCTTGACTCCTGGGAAAGAAGAGATGCCAAGAGAGTGGGGCTTCAGACAAGAAGGCCAGAGAAAGGGAACCACAAGGATAGGGCTGACTACTCCTCGGCTGGCCCCAGGGAGTGAACCAAACTGAATCCAAACTCACTGACATCCAGCTGGTTCAGACTCATACCGACCCCCACTGGGTTTCCAAGGCTGTAAATCTTTATGGAAGCAGACTGCCTCATCTTTCTTCCATGGAGCAGCTGGTGGGTTCAAACCAAGCTCTGGGGTTAGCAGCCAAATGCCTTAATCACTACACCATCAGAGCTTCTTCCAGGAGGTGAAAGGGCCTTAAAAACCAACTGGCTTTGAGTCCACTGACTCACAGTGACTCCATGTGTCAGAGCATAACTGTGCTCTGTAGGGTTTTCAACGGCTGATTTTTCAGAAGTAGACTGCCAGGGCTTTTTTCTCAGGTGCTTCTCTGTAGACTTGAACCTCCAACCTTTAAACAAGCCAAACATGCTAACTATCTGCACCACCCAGGGAGGAAGGGGCCTTAGCAGAGCTCAAAACTCACGTTGTGGCAGAGGCTGGGTGAGGGGCTGGCAGGTGCCGTGAAGAGCTGCGGGGGGAGGGGCCTCGCCCCCTGCCCACCAGCCTGGGGCTGAGAAAGCCACCTCCATCCGATCCGGATCCCCACCTGGGCCTCCAGAACCGTGTTGTGGGGCACAGCTCCGAGAAGGGCTATAAACAGCTCTGTGACTAAGCTGAGGCTGGGTCTGACAGTTGCCTCTTTGTGGACTCCTGCAGGCCCTGGTCTCAGGGCAGATGCAGGAAACTGATGGGTATTGATCAAAGTAGGGTCACATTCACCGTGAGCTGGGCCCTGAGGAAACAAGGGGTTGATTTCAAAGAAACTACAGGGAGCTCTGGTCCTGGAAACAGATCTGAGTTCAAATCCTGACTCCACTCCACCCCTTTCTGGCTGTGTGACCGTGAATGAGACACATAAACTCTGAGTCTTAGTCTGTCCAGTAAATAGTGGGCAAGGCCAGAATGAAGGCCTGAAATTAACATTAATAATACATTCTTGGATGCTTGTAACATGCCAGACACTGTGGTTCCTGGGCTGGACTGCTGCTAGAAAGCGGGATAAGATCTCCCACTTCCCACCCACATGCTAGTGATGTTTTCTAGGTGAACTTCAGAAACAAGTAAGTGTAGCCTGTGTGTGTCTGTAAGACAGACCCTAGAAGGAAGTAAGGAGCCACATATTTTAATTCCTACAGATATTACCACATCAGCAAATTCCACAGCCCTGTCTGTTCCTCGGTGGCACAAATGATTTACACTCAATTACTAATTGAAAGGTTGGTGGTTTGAACCCACCAGCAGCACCGAAGAAGGGAGGTCTGGTAATCCACTACTGCAGTGATTACAGCCAAGAACACCCTACAGAACAGCACTGCTCTGCAATACATGGCGTTGCCGTGAGTCAGAATCAACTTGATGGCAAAGGGTTTGAGTTTGGCTTGTGTGTCCCTGTCAAACGGGATCATTATGAGTTGGAATCAACTGGATGGTACACAATGACAACATCACAATAGAATTACCAATAGAATCGAAGTGAGATGCCCTTTCTCTGCATTCCCTCTGGCTTCTCTGGGTGGGGGTGGGGAAAATGCTACTGGTCACAGGCGCTCAAGCCAGTCTGAGATTCTTCTTAGACCTTGAGCACGTTACTTCAGTTATCAATGCCCAAGATTCCTCGACTGAAAAACAGGGTAACTACTCTGTTTTCATCCTTGGTGCTTGGCACTGAGTTGTCGTTGTTGTTGTGTGCCGTCGAGTCGGACCTGACCCATAGCGACCCCTCCTTGGGTTTCCGAGGCAGTATCACTACGGAAGTAGATTGCCCCA